AATGCAAAGCATTTCATGTTACAAATAATCTTCATAACTTGGCTGCTGAAATAGTGTCGATTTTTTTTTTCTCTCCTTCATCCATAAAATAAGCCTTACACATAAAATTATATCCTTTATGGCTGTTTTTATTGTGGCCAAGAGTCAAAGTTAAAAGTCATCATTGGTGACTGAGAAATACACACCACCCTGACAAGCTCCTTGGGCCTTCTATTATAAGGGTTCTAATCCCGTTGATAAGGGTGGAAAGTGAGAGCTCCTAATACTGACTTGCATGTATAAGAAAACAAGCAGAAGCTCTAAGGTAACCCCACAGCATGTACTCAAGTTTTTGGAAGGCTGCTTTAAGTAACACTTCCCAATTGTTTGAGTCATAGAGACATGAAACCTTCAGGAAGTTTACATGAAATGCACATTTCTATAACTATTCAAAATAGTTATAGAAATGCAGTCATAGAGGATAACTTATGATTCATTTTGCTTTTATGGTACCACAAATTGTTGTATTTTTCTAGCAGTCTTTTTAAATTATTTTTCATCTTAGCTAAAACTTAACTGCTAATACTGTCAGTCATCTTGTTTTGTAAGCATTGTTTACATGACCTCCAGATTCTTATTAAGGAAATTTAAATAATTAACTAAGGTAAAAAGAATGGAAAGTTCAAGTCTCAGAGTTTTTCTTTATTTTCCTTATCAAAACTAATGTGATGCAAATTAAAACATAGACACTGAAAAGTACATCTATTATATAATTGGGATCTTTCATTTGCCTAATTTTAAAAAATCAATTTCAATGACCAGCAGTTGGCATAATGGCTATGTTGCTGGACTCCCATGTAGTCAACTGTGGTTCGAGTCCCGGACCCAGTGGCTTAAACTCACGCCAGGCCCATGTGCGTACGTATGTGCCCAAGATCCCAAGAGTAGAATGGAGGAGAAGGAATTGCAGCGTGGCCATCCCCCCTGGGGGGTGGTTTCTCACTTTCTGTCTCTGTCTTTCTGGCGAGCACATGTGCCCTATAGCAAAAACCTCTCAAAAAAAAAAATGAATTTCAGCATTATTTTGAGTTTATAAGGTTGTTTTATTGAATCATATTCAAATATGGCTAGTATTAGTTCAGTTAGGCCTTTTCTGTTTATTCAATATAAATTGAATTTTCTTGTACTCCAGGCCCTTCGCTTGTTATTCTTTTCTTCATAACACTTATCACAGTTTTATTTGTTTATTTATTTTTGATTCTTTATGGAACTCGTTTCACCTCTACTGGTTTGTCAGTTCCAATGGAACAGGAAGCATATCTGTTTTATTTCTATGCCGCTAATGTTTAGCACCACACGCAGCATATAGTAAGTGTCCAATAAATGAAAAAGAGGCAGGCCAAGCTGTTCAACTCAATCATTTATAGTGAATTCAGAGCACATGTGCTACTCCTCATGTGGAAAGGCGTGACCAGTAATGGGAATTGGGCTCAGAGGATTGGTGCTAAGGCAAGCAGGAGGGTGAGGGGACTTACTTAAGATAGCCGAGAAGTGCACAATCTGGATGGTTAAACCTAAGTTAAAATCTGTTAAGTAAGGGCTAAGAGCAAAAGAATGGGGAGATACAAACAAAAACAGTCAAGTCCAAAGCATCCAGGAACAGAGCCAAGAAATGACGTGAAGAAAGCATAGGGCCCAATAAAAGTTGAGAGATACTGGCAAGTTTGGGGACAGGCCTGAAGATGTGCTCTGCTAACTCTGGACCTACCCTGGTCTGATTTCTGCAGTTCTTTGCCAACATTGTCTGGTACATTTAAATTTGCAGTTGTATTATACTCTCATTCATCATCTTCATGTCCAAGGGGGGGGGGGAATTCAACACACGTTACATTATTTATTTTAAAGCAATAATAACTTCAGTATTAAAGACAAAACTAATTTGGCTTCTCCCTTGAATGGACATGTGGGATGTCTCAACCTCAGATGGAGATTTTTTTTTTTTTTAGAATAGTTTATTTAATTTTATTTATTATTAAAGAGTGAGAGAAAGAGTGAGAAAGTAGGAAAGCAAGTCACCAGGTCTAGGACTTGAACTATGGTCGACCATGTAGTCAAACACCTTTACCACACCACCTACTGGCCCCTATTATTATTTTTTAATTTGATGTAGGGCATGTGCACTCACCAGAAAGAGAAGAGAGAGGGGGAAAGTGAGACAACAAGCTTCAGGCCCAGGACTTGAGCCACGGTCAGCCATCTGGGAGTCCAGCACCCAACCACTATGCCACCTACTGACCACTGGAGATGATTTTTTTTTTGAGAGATTTTTGCCATAGGGCGCGTGCGCTTGCCAGATAGACAGAGACACAGAGACAGAAAGTGAGAAATCACCCCCTGGGGGGGTGGCCACGCTGCAATCCCTTCTCCTCCATTCTCCTCTCGGGATCTTGGGCACACAAGCACACGTGCCCGGTGTGAGTTTTAAGCCACCGGGTATGGGACGTGAACCACAGTCGACTACATGGGAGTCTAGCGACATAGCCATTGTGCTAACTGCTGCTCCCGAGATGATTTTTAATCCCTTCAGCCTATAGAATTTTATCAAATCTTACTAAGTGGTGGGTCTTTCTCAAAAAAGTCTTCCTAAATAGTAGGTTTGACCTTTTGACAAGTTAAGTTAAAGTACTGAGGCATCAAGTTTTCCAAAGATTTCTGAAGCCTCCGGGGTCAGTAACATTTACAGGTAGCACCTAGTTGCAAAGCCCGTGTTGTGGAGTAATATATCACAACACTTGCCATGCATTTCAACACAAGGAGGAGCACGTGTGCTTTGAATTCACTATAAATGCTTGAGCTGAATATCTTGGCCTTGCTCTTTTCATTCATTCATTCAACATTTATTGAAGACTTCTTATCTGATAGATGTGGTACTAAGCATTAGGGAGCTAGGTGTAAACAAAAAGATATGCTTCTCCTCCATTGGAACTAAGTCAGTAGGGAGGAAACAAATTCTACATAGAATCACAAATAAATATATGATTAAAGCTTTGATAGGAGGGGCCAGCAGGTGGCATGGTGGTTAAGAGCGCTGGACTCCCACATGGCCACATGGTTTGAGTCCTGGGCCTGGCAGTTTGCTTTCTCACTTTTCCTCTGTCTCTCTCTCTCTCTCTCATTCTGTTTTTCTCTAGTCAAATTAAAATAAATAAACAAATGAATAAAAGTTAAATAAAAACCAATTAATTAAAAAAAATAAAAATTGCGATAGGTATTATGAAAAAAAGTAAAAAGCATAGGGCCTGGAGTACAAGATTTCATTTATATTGAATAAACAATAAAGTAGGAGCACTCCGAGGTGTCTCTGACCACATCATGAGAAATTCAGTTAGCAATAGAATTCTTAACCTTCTTGCACTCCTCAGTACTCCACTCTGTTCCTGTGTAAACATCTGGTTAATTTTAAATTTTCCTTTGGGTTACTAAATTTCTATTTATTATTCTATTCTACATCCACCTTTCATTTTTCTTCTGAAATGAACATTTATGGTAACTTAGAGTTGTCATTCCCTCATTTAGTATTTTCAGTCTGCTCCCTAATTTTATCATGTTCACATACAATCCATTATTCTGTCCACATACACTCTGTTATTCTGTCAAAGTTAATAATCTTGTTATAAATGCGTCTCTATCTTACATGTACATGATATTCATGACAGCATAAGAAGCATAATCAATTAAGTTTGTGTTATCTCATTGAATTTGTACTGCAAAATGACTTTTTTAGAAAGTCAGTGACTGGAAGAGACCAAAAATGGCGTAATGGTTACGTCATTGGACTCCCACGTAGGTGACCGTGGTCCTAGTCCTGGATCCGGCAGCTTAAAACTCACATTGGGTGAGGATACATGCATGTGTGCCCAAGATTTTGAGAGGAGAATGGAGGAGAAAGTATTGCAGGGTGGTCATCCCCCCGAGGGGGTAATTTCTTACTTTCTGTCTCTCTGGCAAGCACACATGCCCTATAGCAAAAGCCTCTCTTCCAAAACAAAAAAAAAGGAAACTCAGTAAATGGTATTTTGTCCTGAAATACTTTCTTTTTTATTTTAATATAGTCTGTCTATGGTTTACAAAATGATATCAGAAGTCACAGTCCTACCCACACACCTACACCAGATACTAAACCTCCAACAGAAGATGAGTTACACCAACAGGTAAGTCGGCCTATAGGATGACCTGTTAATGATGTTCAGAGTAGCAGCTCTGAGAACCATAATAGTACTTACAGTGTGTATTTGGAAAGGTTTTTTTTTTTAATTTGGTCAACTGTTTCATGTAGAATATTTGAAGCTAAAAGGTAACAATATTGGCTAATTTTAATGTGTTGAACTTGAAAATGTATCAACACATGGCAGTGGTTTTTCAGACTTTTCACTCTCATTTCTCTAAGTCCTTTTCCTTCTAATTGATTTTTTAAAAATCACAGACACTGATTTATAGGTGACTCCATTAACAATAGTTATTTTGTACTCCAGGACTCTGTCTTAAAGGATGCTTGTTTTGACAGAACAGATTTCTCTAAACCTCTTGAACGTTTCCCTTAGTACCACTGGTAATGGTCATGGTAGCTTTATACCACTTCTTCTTACATCAGTCGATTAATAGTTTGGGCTCCCAGTAATATTTCAAAGAACACTCTAGATTCTCGTATGTCAAATAATTGTTGAATCTGTCAATTGTTTTGACAAATGGAGCTTTTTCTTCCTTTGACTCTTTTTTCTCTAATATTTTATTATAATGTGCTTCACTGATAGTTTAATATATACTATTCTAGTATATGTATAATCACCATAAAGGAAATGTAATTCAGAGTTTAAAATTAAAAAGTTTTCCATGTGTGATTATATCTGCATGAGCATTTGTCATGCATTGCTGAGAAAAATTATTCTCAAAACACATTATTAATGATTTCATAGTATATTAGGAGGTAGGATTTATTTTGAAATTATAGTAACAAATAACAAATCCATTTATTTTCCTGAGTTAAGTATTTGAGGAGAAGTGTGGCTTGGGATTTATTAGTTATTTGCCATGAATAAATGCTTACAATCTCCATAACATTTCTTTAAAAACAAAAAAACTTACATTTTCTTAAAGTAAGCAAAATATTCAAACCCATTTCTGTTCTAAAAAGGTATGTTTGCAACATTTTTGTTAACTTCTTCAGAGCAACATTTTTGTTAACTTCTTCAGAGCTCTCCCTTTAATTTTTTTGACCAACTTTGACATTTTATTGACTGAGAATCTATTCTCATTCAGAATTCCCTAGTGTATCAGAATTAGAGCTGAAAATTGTGAGAATGTCATTACCTATGTAACTACTCTAATCTTCTTTTCAGATAAAATATTGGCAAATACAGTTAGATAGACATCGGTTAAAAATGTCAAAAGTTGCTGATAGGTGAGTATTTCAGATGTCCATACACATTTTTAAAAGGTTTTTATGGCAATTAAATGTGTTAAAAGAAGTAAGAGAAATGTTGGGAAGGAATCTGGGATAAATAACTGGAATCCTATAAAAATGTTAATCTGTTTTCCCTTTTACCCGATGAAAACTTTCAGCAAACTCTTTTTTTTTATTATACTTTAAATGACACAATGGTCATTATTGTCTCAAATGGCTAGAAGTTCATTGTTCTGCAACAAAGAATAAGCTACAGAGGATAGTTCTCAGGAGTTGAGTTTTTTCACTCCTGGTGGAAGACTGGCAATTTAAAACCTCTCTGTAAGTTGATTTTAACATGCACAATCTACTTTGTTATCCTGTGACTTCAGAATTTGGATGGAACTCAAATGTTAAACACTTTTTTTAATTTAAAATTGTTCATATCCATAGGTTTCACTTGGGGATATTGCTAAATCCGGTCTCTCCAGCTTATTTCCCTACTTCTTAAAAACAAATAAACAAAATACAGATTTTTTTAAAAAAAATTATTGTCAGGGCCATTAGGAGGAGAAGGGGTTAAGGCACTTGACTCCTGCATGGGCGACTACAGTTTGAGCCCCAGACTTGGTGACTTGAAACTCATATTCGGTCCATGTGTGTGCCCAAAATCTTGAAAGAAGACTGGAAAAGAAGGGATTTCAGCATGGCCATCCCCGCCAGGAATTTATTTCTCACTTTCTGTCTCTCTGTCTCTACAGTGAGCCCACACACCCTACAGCAAAATTCACACACACACACACACACACACACTTACAGCAAAATTCACACACACACACACACAAAAGGAATTAAAGAATATGAATTATTGTCAGTGTGTTCCCCTTTTACCTAATTCCTATAAATACTTTTGACAAAAAAGTCCCTATATCCCCTTCTCCAAGTTCACCAAAATCAGGTTGGCCGTGTGTGTTAACAAAGGCTTGGAACATACCCTTAGTACTACCCAACACACGCTGATTTCTTCCATATTGCATCATTGCAATGGAGAGATGTGGACTTACATGACTTGAGCATGGAGAAGGATGGAATTCACAGCCACATTGAAGCACAGCAATTGCTTCATGTAAATTACTGAAATGTAAAAGCTGCTATTGGATTTCATTCTAATAAGCAAGTAAGGATTCCTTAACCAGAATTTTTTTTTTTTCTTTGCTATCGGGTGTGTGCAGTTGCCAGGGAGAGACAGAGAAAAGGAAAACAGAAAATCACACTCCAGACCCCTCCCCGCCAGGACTGATGGCCACATCACAATCCCTTCTCCTCCATTCTCCTCTTGGGATTTTGGGCACCCACACACACACACTCCCAGCATGATTTTCAAGCTGCTGGGTTTGGGACTGGGATGATGGTCAGCCCTGTGGGAATCAAGCATTTTAACCACTGCCACCTGCTGGCCCTTGGCCAGACATTTTTATATCACATCTCTTACTTTAAACTGGGTGTAACCTCAGCCAGAAAACTAAGGATGGTGGAAATGTTTTTTTCTCCCTAGTCTTCTAAGTTACACGGAGCAGTATTTAGAATACGACCCGTTTCTTGTGCCACCTGACCCTTCTAATCCATGGCTATCTGATGATACCACTTTCTGGGAACTTGAAGCAAGGTAGGTGACATGCTTTTCTGCCTCCCGAATATGTCATTTTATTTCAGGGTCTTAGTAAAGTCCTATAATGGGTTAGTTCAACATGTCTACATTGGTCCATTATTTATCATTCTTTTTCAAGATAATGACTTTTGAGTCTTAAACATTTGCACTAAGATTTGCATAACTGGAAGTATTGGGACAAAATTAGAGGTGCCATCAGTTCTTCACATTTAGCTTCCTTAAAGATCCACATAGCCATAAAATGCCCATGTATTCCAGCAAAAGTAAATGTTTAATCCATACATATTTAAGCCCACTGCATGTATGCCTTTTAAAATTCAGTTTTACACATATTTACCATAAGCACTCTCACAGAAACTTACAAGAGACTGGCTTTTTGAGGATACTGAAAGATACTGCCTAGTTTTTGTCATAAGCTATATAGGAGAAAAATTATGTCATCAATCTTGGCAGAGTCATAAATAGGTCATTGTCTATCACTTCACAAAGGATGGTGCTCTTTAGCACTTACCTAGATTCTACTTATGGACGTATTTTATATCAGCCATGGATCATAAACACTTGACGTGTCCAGAAGTCTTCAGTCACAAGTTACAGATTTTATAAATGAGGGAGCCAGCACACCAAAAAAGTTATTGGCCAGCATTTAAAACGTATTTCATCGAGAGCAGAGTAATACACCTAGTACTAGGCCTTTTGGTTACCAGTGCATTTTTCCCAGTTCAGCCTACCACCAGGAGACTGTACGCATAGTAGTTAAGAAAGGAGCACTCGGATCAGAATGTCTGAACCTTTGTCCCTTATTTCTTCTCTCCCATTGGCAAGTTACAACTCTTTCTGCCTCTGTTTCCTCATCTATAAAATAAGAAGGATCATAGTACCAATCTCATGAAGTTGCTCAAAAAACTAAAAGAGACAATTCATGTAAAGCATTTAATACCGAATGCTTAATAAATGTTAGACTTGATTATTAATAACAATACCTAACTTTTGCTTTACTGCGATGTCATGTGGAGCCATGAATCAGATACATGGGGTTTTTTTTTTTCTCAAGTTAAAGATGAGAACTTTAAGGCATACATGATTTTCAAGGGAAATATAATAACAGAAAATAAGAATTAGAATAAAGGGAATATATTTGACTTTATTTTATCTTCTATAGCAAAGAACCAAGTCAACAGAGGGTAAAACGATGGGGTTTTGGCATGGATGAGGCCTTGAAAGACCCAGTTGGAAGAGAACAGTTTCTTAAATTTCTAGAGTCAGAATTCAGCTCGGAAAACTTAAGGTAAGGTACACTGTTTGCATCATATACTATAAGCCAGAGAGCTTCTATCTCTAATGTATCTAGTTATTTTCCATTGAATAGACCAAATACTATCCCACTAATGTCATGATAATGTTAGGAATCCATAGAATTGCTGCCACCTAATGGAGGATAAGAGGTAACCACAGCAAGGCTATGTAATAATATCAATTCTTTATTTCTTTTCATATTATCTCTAATTTTTTTCCTTAAACTTTTGCCATAGAGTGTGTGTGCGCACTGGAGAAAGACAAACAGTGAGAGTGGAAGGAAGTATAGTCACGCCACAATTCCCTCTCATCCTGGGATTTGGAGCGCACACACATATGCCCAACATGATTTTCAAGCCACCACATCCGGAACTTGAACCATGGTTAGCCATGTGGGAGTACAACGCCTTAACCACTACCCACTACGCCACCTGCTGGCCCCATTGTCTCTAAATCTTTTAGCTATATAAATTTAATGCTTTTAAAGTGAACTCCACAAAAAAGTACAAGACTTAGGTCAATATTTGGCAAAGTAGAGAATGGCTAATATAATGGTTGGCCTCTGTCTGTCACTCTTCAACAGACAGAAAAGTGACTGGGCACCTAGGTAACCAAGTCACTGGGGACAAAGCTATGAGGGCAGCGCATTTACTTTCCATGTACAGGCACAACAACGGGGCAGCTGAGTGCCACAGAACACCTAACTGCTAGTGCCACAGGCTACTCTCTGACCATCTGCTGTAAAGGTCATCCTTACATGTGTTTAAAATTGTTCATCTTGAGGGACACCTGGAAATTACATTTTAAAATGTGAGACATGAAAACAGATTTTGATAGCTCTATTTGAGATCACTGTCGTGAGTGGTAACTTTCCACTGCATGAAACTGTTTTTCTATGAGCTCTTTCATTCATTATGCTTTGGAAATATGATATGCTATTTTTACTTTTTCATTACTTATGTGGCCCTGTGAAATTCATTTACAGAAAAGACTCAACATTTATTTTCACTGGAACTAAGCAGCAATAGGCATTGTCACCTTCTTTTCAGGAGATTTAATGAGTACCATAAACACGCACCATTCAAAATATGCAGGACATTGACAGCAGTCTTGTGAATGAAGCAGGATGGCCATGGACAGAGCCTGGAGGGTTTCAGTTCTGTTGTGGATGGCTGAGATGCATCTTGTTGGCTGGTTTTCTTTCAAATTTATGGATGCCCATCCCTGACTCGGCTTTTCCAAGATTTACTGAGGATCTTAGTTGCTATGGATTTTTTATTGGGCCTACTTAATGATATTTTCTATATTGAGATCACATCATCAATGTATGTTCTCATACAGATAAGAAAACAGATCGCAGCATAAAATTATGGGCACTTAGGAGAAATCCAGAAGGATGCCTAAGTAAAGTCCGTCATCAGCAGAAGCATATTAAGGAAAATGAAAATGACTTCTAGGCTGAGAAACTGACTAATGAGGAGATAAGCAGATCTATCCCCACCTCCAAAAAAGAAGAGGAAAGGGAAGAAGAAGAAAGAGGCTTTTAGAGCAATGAGAATAGCATATGCATATTCTTTCATGCAGGAATTGAATCACCACTAATTCTCTAATTCTTTAGTTCAATCAAGCCTTATCTTGGTTAATTCTATACCATACTAGTCTCTCTGCTAAATAATTATATATAAAAAATACTGAGTATTTATTTATATATATATATATATACCATAAGCACTCTCACAGAAACTTACAAGAGACTGGCTTTTTGAGGATACTGAAAGATACTGCCTAGTTTTTGTCATAAGCTATATAGGAGAAAAATTATGTCATCAATCTTGGCAGAGTCATAAATAGGTCATTGTCTATCACTTCACAAAGAAAGGATGGTGCTCTTTAGCACTTACCTAGATTCTACTTATGGACTGTATTTTATATCAGCCACGGATCATAAACACTTGACGTGTCCAGAAGTTTTCAGTCACAAGTTACAGATTTTATAAATGAGGGAGCCAGCACACAAAAAAAGTTATTGGCCAGCATTTAAAACATATTTCATCGAGAGCAGAGTAATACACCTAGTACTGGGCCTTTTGGTTACCAGTGCGTTTTTCCCAGTTCAGCCTACCACCAGGAGACTGTACGCATAGTAGTTAAGAAAGGAGCACTCGGATCAGAATGTCTGAACCTTTGTCCCTTATTTCTTCTCTCCCATTGGCAAGTTACAACTCTTTCTGCCTCTGTTTCCTCATCTATAAAATAAGAAGAATCATAGTACCAATCTCATGAAGTTGCTCAAAAAACTAAAAGAGACAATTCATGTAAAGCATTTAATACCGAATGCTTAATAAATGTTAGACTTGATTATTAATAACAATACCTAACTTTTGCTTTACTGCGATGTCATGTGGAGCCATGAATCAGATACATGGGGTTTTTTTTTTTCTCAAGTTAAAGATGAGAACTTTAAGGCATACATGATTTTCAAGGGAAATATAATAACAGAAAATAAGAATTAGAATAAAGGGAATATATTTGACTTTATTTTATCTTCTATAGCAAAGAACCAAGTCAACAGAGGGTAAAACGATGGGGTTTTGGCATGGATGAGGCCTTGAAAGACCCAGTTGGAAGAGAACAGTTTCTTAAATTTCTAGAGTCAGAATTCAGCTCGGAAAACTTAAGGTAAGGTACACTGTTTGCATCATATACTATAAGCCAGAGAGCTTCTATCTCTAATGTATCTAGTTATTTTCCATTGAATAGACCAAATACTATCCCACTAATGTCATGATAATGTTAGGAATCCATAGAATTGCTGCCACCTAATGGAGGATAAGAGGTAACCACAGCAAGGCTATGTAATAATATCAATTCTTTATTTCTTTTCACATTATCTCTAATTTTTTTCCTTAAATTTTTGCCATAGAGTGTGTGTGCGCACTGGAGAAAGACAAACAGTGAGAGTGGAAGGAAGTATAGTCACGCCACAATTCCCTCTCATCCTGGGATTTGGGGCGCACACACATATGCCCAACATGATTTTCAAGCCACCACATCCGGAACTTGAACCATGGTTAGCCATGTGGGAGTACAACGCCTTAACCACTACCCACTACGCCACCTGCTGGCCCCATTGTCTCTAAATCTTTTAGCTATATAAATTTAATGCTTTTAAAGTGAACTCCACAAAAAAAGTACAAGACTTAGGTCAATATTTGGCAAAGTAGAGAATGGCTAATATAATGGTTGGCCTCTGTCTGTCACTCTTCAACAGACAGAAAAGTGACTGGGCACCTAGGTAACCAAGTCACTGGGGACAAAGCTATGAGGGCAGCGCATTTACTTTCCATGTACAGGCACAACAACGGGGCAGCTGAGTGCCACAGAACACCTAACTGCTAGTGCCACAGGCTACTCTCTGACCATCTGCTGTAAAGGTCATCCTTACATGTGTTTAAAATTGTTCATCTTGAGGGACACCTGGAAATTACATTTTAAAATGTGAGACATGAAAACAGATTTTGATAGCTCTATTTGAGATCACTGTCGTGAGTGGTAACTTTCCACTGCATGAAACTGTTTTTCTATGAGCTCTTTCATTCATTATGCTTTGGAAATATGATATGCTATTTTTACTTTTTCATTACTTATGTGGCCCTGTGAAATTCATTTACAGAAAAGACTCAACATTTATTTTCACTGGAACTAAGCAGCAATAGGCATTGTCACCTTCTTTTCAGGAGATTTAATGAGTACCATAAACACGCACCATTCAAAATATGCAGGACATTGACAGCAGTCTTGTGAATGAAGCAGGATGGCCATGGACAGAGCCTGGAGGGTTTCAGTTCTGTTGTGGATGGCTGAGATGCATCTTGTTGGCTGGTTTTCTTTCAAATTTATGGATGCCCATCCCTGACTCGGCTTTTCCAAGATTTACTGAGGATCTTAGTTGCTATGGATTTTTTATTGGGCCTACTTAATGATATTTTCTATATTGAGATCACATCATCAATGTATGTTCTCATACAGATAAGAAAACAGATCGCAGCATAAAATTATGGGCACTTAGGAGAAATCCAGAAGGATGCCTAAGTAAAGTCCGTCATCAGCAGAAGCATATTAAGGAAAATGAAAATGACTTCTAGGCTGAGAAACTGACTAATGAGGAGATAAGCAGATCTATCCCCACCTCCAAAAAAGAAGAGGAAAGGGAAGAAGAAGAAAGAGGCTTTTAGAGCAATGAGAATAGCATATGCATATTCTTTCATGCAGGAATTGAATCACCACTAATTCTCTAATTCTTTAGTTCAATCAAGCCTTATCTTGGTTAATTCTATACCATACTAGTCTCTCTGCTAAATAATTATATATAAAAAATACTGAGTATTTATTTATATATATATATATATATATATTTACACACACACACACACACTCTATTTGAGTATTTATTATAAGCTATCATATTTTTCCTTAAAAATAAAAATAGATAGATAAATGATACAAATGTATAAATGTTATAAATGTAAAAATGATAAAAGATACAAATGCAATTGTAATTCTTGAACACCTACCACATCACCATATATTTTTACCAATCACTTCTATAAACACTTTGTCATATTTTGTATTCATTATTCCTGATTAACAAACGTCTAATCCTCACAACAAACATGAAATGTAAATATTATTGCCTCATTTTACAGATAAGCAAAACATACCTGAGATTCAATACTTTTTACAAAGCCTTCTTGGTTTTCAGTAAGCCAGCCACTGTACGCAGTCCACTTCCAATAAGCCACGCTACTGTCCACTGCTTCCAAAATGTGAGCCCACTCTACTTCCGCTAGGTATCTAATATGTCACACAATGAAAGAGAAAAAATGGTCAGTCGGCAGGGCTGGGAATTACAGTTACAGAACTCTCAGTGTGTCTTGTCTTAGCAGTAGCCCTCTAAGGGCTTGCTGTTTATGGGAACCAGTCGTATGAGTAGTTTCTTCAAATATTATCCATAGAACAGGAAAAAAGTCAATAAACAGTGCTTATCAATAATTACTTATACTTAAAGTACACCCTCTGTTCTCCATTGATATATTCTTGCTTTTCCCTTTTTCAAAGCACCTAACCTAGAGCAAGCATAGAGTAAACAGACTAATACCATGAGTTTTATCACTGAATTCCTGAAAATATGCCAGGCACTCTGTGGGGCCCTTACATAACTGGTATCACTTAATCCAGTGGAAGAATTCTCATCCTATTTTACTAATGAGGGAACTGAGACTCAAAGACATTTAGATGCTTCTCCAGATTCCACGCATTAGTGAATACAGAGGATGAGATCTTTATCCTTTTCATTCCTTCAAATTATTGCAATGATTACTATCATAACAGAGATGAAAAGGCCATGAGGCCATGAGGCCATGAGGGAGACTGTGAGGAAGTGGTTGTGAGCACATCTGCTTCAGAGTTTCTGGGGACAAACCCCAGCTTTGACACTAATATGGGGTCATCTTACATAAGCCACTTAATCTTTGTCTCCTTCATTTCCCCTTTCTTCCTGAAAGTAATGATGACAGTTTAAATGGGGGAAATAATGACACCTTTTCTGTTATTTCCCCCATTTAAATGATCATCAGAGTTTCTGTAGAAATTAAATGCATTCATATAGGTAAATTGCTTAGAGAAGTACCTGCACTTGCTTATCAGTGAAGGTGATATAATTAGTTTTTCACCCTTTTGGTATTTTGTCCTTATTTTCAAATTCCTTTCAGGTGCCACTGCAATGATGCTAGCTGTCCTAGACCCCCCTTTTCCAATGCAGAGCTTGCCCCAGCAGAGGAGGTGTTTCCTGCTCCACATTCCCAGAGAGTCTAGTTTGTTCTCTTCCTAAAGAGCCTCTCATATGCTTCCTGGTATTATTGCCAGTTCAATGGTGAATCTTTATCTCTACTGGTTATTTATTTAAAGTTGAGGACTCTCTTATTTTTTGAGAAAGAGATCTTTTGCTACAGGGAATGTGCACTTGCTGGAAAGACATAAAGACAAAGAGATAAAAAATGAGAAATCACCCCCACTCCAGGGAGGGAAGGTCATTCCACAATACCTCCTCCCTTATTCTCCTCTCAGAATTCTGGGCATGGCACACACACACGTGCCTGGCATGAGTTTTAGGCCACCGGGTCTGGGACTCAAACTGTGGTCAGCTACTTGGAAGTCCAGTGATGTAACTGTTACACCATCTGCTGGGATGAATTTGAATGAGCATTAATTACACTACTCGCGTTCCCTCAGGTTGCACATGGCATTTCTGTTAGAGTGCACAGTGTCTAAATCTGTGGGTTAGGAGGAAATGATCTTGAGTGTTTCTTCCTGAAAGTAATGATGATGGTTTCATATTTAAGGCACTGTCAACTTTGATTATACGTGGTATACATATCTATAGTAAATCAAAATCTGTAAGTGGAAACTGGATAATCACTAGACTAAGTAGCATCTGCTCTTCTAATTCTAGCTCGAGTATTTTATTACTGATTTCTGATCTTCAGTTAATACCCAAGTTAAAACTTACTTTTGTAGTCTCCACATCTCCTGGTGCCTCTCTTAAGCTTCTGTAGCCAGTAGTTTCCTCATCTCTATGGTCATCTTCTTCATTTTATCATCACATCTACCTTTAGAGCAATAATAGTGCCTCTTAAGGATTTATCTTTTCAACATTATTCCTAGATCTAAACAAAAAAAAGTAACCAAGAGCAAATTTTATTTATTCATTATTTTATTTTTATTTAATTTTATTTATATTTCTGCCATAGGGCATGTGTGCTAGCTAGAGAGAGACAGAGATAAAGAGAAAAGGAAAGTGAGAAATCACCCCATGGAGTGGTGGGGGAGACAGCCACACTGCAAATCCTTCTCCTCCATTTTCCTCTAGAGATTTTGAGCACATGTGCACGTGTGCCCTGCATGTTTTTCAAGAGCAAAATTTGAAGAAATAAAGTTCATTAATAACATGTGGCCTCTTCTCACTAGACTTTGCTGTTTATTATTATCAATCAAAACATTCTCAAGTATTCTTTGAGGTAGATGTGCACATATTCAGAAGAAGTGAGTGTATATTTTTCTATTGCTTCTCAGTTGCTATGATGTGTCCGCGAATTTAAGCCTCTCAAATAATTGCATGTGAAAGCTTGATGCCTTTGTCAGTCCATAGCTCTTTCAATTGAATAGCTTAAAATTAGTTAATTGTCCTGATTTTTCAGCGGGGTCATTTTCTGATCCTGTGTCCAGACCTCCTTTAACTCCAGTAAAGCTTTGAAGTGATTCCCATATAGGGTAGAGCAGAAAACCTCCTTACTAAACCTCAGTTCTCAAATGAAAAAGAGCCAAAGGGCAGAGTAGAATGTGCTATGTCCCAGCTGAACACTGTCGCACATTAATTCCCTTCCTTCTCCACCTACTTACAAACAAAATTCTTTAGCCATCTAAGTGTGAAAAATTGAGCTGGTGTAGGGTCAGGGCTTTGGCAGATCTACTTTTAACAACTACACCGAAAAGGGATAGTCCTGAATATTTCCCGCCAACAAATTTTATACCTTTGAGTATAACTCGTGGGAGAAAAGTCAGTGTATGCCCGATATTAGAAGCCCTCAGAGAAACTGAATCTGTTAGTCTGCATCATGATCAACTGTACGCTCAGTCGGTAGTACAAGGAGTTTCCCGGAACCAGCAGTTAGCGTAATGGCTATGTTGCTGGACTCCCACGTAGTTGACCGCGGTTCAAGTCCCAGACCCGGTGGCTTAAAACTCATGTTGGGCTCGTGTGCGTACGTGCTCAAGATCCCGAGAGGAGAATGGAAGAGAAGGGATTGCGGTGTGACCATCCCCTCTGGGGGGTGATTTCTCGCTTTCTGTCTCTATGTCTTTCTCTGTCTGTCTGGCAAGTGCACGCGCCCTATAGCAAAAAACCTCTCCAAAAAAAAAAAAAAAGAAGTTTGTGATTATGAGCCATCAGATTAAACACTTGCTGTCACGTTTTGCACAGATTCTGGCTAGCTGTGGAGGACCTGAAGAAGAGGCCTATGAGAGAAGTGCCCTCGCGAGTTCAGGAAATATGGCAAGAATTTCTGGCTCCTGGAGCCCCCAGTGCCATTAACTTGGATTCTAAGAGTTATGACAAAACCACCCAGAATGTGAAGGAACCAGGACGATACACATTTGAAGATGCTCAGGTGGGTAAACGGCAGAGCCTCGCATCACAGCTGTGCTCTGGAGTTGAGACTTTAGATACTTTGATTTTATTTTCATATAATCAGCAGTTATTTCTAATACTATTTTCAATTTAGGGGACTAGGTAAAATAATGCTAGCTGATCTAGAAAAGAACAAGGTTGTTTTAAAATAAATCGTTTTTGTAAAGCCTGGGAATTTTTCTAAATTTAATTAGTTTATTTAAGAACTTTGTAAAGGGGAATATTTAAAAACTTTTCCTTCATTATCTACTGTTTGTCACGCAATGTGAGTAAACATGATCTAATGATGACCCTAACTCAGTGACACGCATTTAACATTGTTTTTATTTTTAATTTTGCCAGATGGCTGGTGCACTCCTGAGAGAGAGAGAGAGAAGTCAGAGAAGTGAGATTGATCACGCCCACAGTCCCTTCTCCATTTCTCCCTGCTTTGGGGATTTCGGGCGTTCATGCACAGGCATGTAGGTGTTTTCCAAACCTTTGCGTCTAGGACTTAAACCACGCAGTTTCATGTGAGATCCAGCTGCCTTAACCATCATGCAACCAGCTGGTCCACATTTTAAGTCTTTAAAGCATCTTCAATATGGAGATCCTAATATTCCAACATCAATTAGTTATTCAACATTACAAATCATCAGAACTGGATTTGCTTAAAGATATGTCCAATGCAAACAGTTTTGTCTCAGGGAAAAAAAAATGGAATAGAAGATTCAGGCATCCATTAATTTTTCAAGTTAAATTTTAGTCTATGGAAGGAAAATAAGGAAATTCATTTTAACACTCTAAGATCATTTGAATTTCTACTTTCAGAAATACTGTTGTTCAAGAAGTAAAACAAACTTGTAATGAGGGGATATTATTCTGTAATGATGTGTTAAAGTCAGCTTTTATTTATTTTTTTAAAGAATGATTTAACTTTATTTTATTTGCTTATTTATTTTAATTTGGGGAGAAAGATAGAGAGAGACAGACAGAGAGAGAGAGAGAGAAAGTGAGAAAGCAAGCCACAAGGTCCAGGACTCGAACTGTGGTTGCCCATGTTGGAATCCAGCGCCCTTAACCACTATGGCACCTGCCAGCCCTTAAAGTCAGCTTTTAAATCAGAACTGTATATATACTTCATAATTTTTAAATCTCCTTTAAGAGAATATTAACAATAGAAAGCATCTTGTCTTGCATAACACATTACTAAATAAAATGTAGGAGATAAAGAATGAGACACAGGGCCAGCAGGTGGTGTGGTGGTTAAGGTGCTGGACTCGCACATGGCCGGAAGTGGTTCAAGTTCTGGACCTGGACACTTGCTTTCTCTCTCCCTCTGTTTGTCTGTCTGGTGAGTGTACATGCCCTGTAGCAAATTAAAAAATAATAATGATGATAAATAAAATTGAATAAATAATTCTTTTTTAAAAAATGCGATACACAAATGTCCTTTATTTCTACTCTCAGTAGAAGTTAGATTTTTCCACGACTTTGTTTTAAAGAGAGGACCACTGTGTAGAAAACTCACATGAGTTATCACAGGTAACATTCCCTGAGGCAAAGCCATGGTCCGGGTACAAGTACTCGCATTCTGCCAGGATGAAAACTCTGGCCCTCCTGCTCCCTTCTCTTCTGATTTATCTTTCTTTTTTCTCAAGATAAAAATGTCAAGCACTTTTCTAGAGCCAGCAATGTGTAAAAATGTTTGGAATGCCCTTCTGAAATCTTAGAAAGAACCTGTCTCTGTTATCCATGTCACCGAAAAATATTCTTACTTAATATTCTTCTCAACAAAATGAGAAGAAATATTTTTTCTACAGAAAATATTGCTCTCAATTTTAGGCTTATTTTTTAACTAAGTCCAGATAATTCACTCCAAGTTGTTGTGGGTTTTTTAAAAATCTGATTCTTCAAAGATACAATAATAGAACATCCTGCCATTGTTTGAGAAGAAATGCAATGAAATGATTAAGAGAGCAGATTCTGGAGCTAAATCATCCAGGTTCTGATCTGGGCTTTGCTCTGTGACCTCTTGCATGCTTGACTTCACCATGCCTCAGTTTCTTCGTATGTAAAATGGACATAATAACGGTTACCAACCTCAGTCGAGTTTCCTGAGGATTACGCTAACTCTTACAGGCAAACGCTCAGCAGTGTCTCAGGCACAGTCTCACAAGTATTTGAGCTCTACTTAACAGAGCATGCCCTCTGCTCTGTTAAGCACAGATCACTTCTTTAGTCCTCCCAACAATGGTATTTTATAGCTATAAAAATTATAGGTTAGAGAAATAAATTAGTCTAAATTTACACTAAGTGGTATTGAGCAAAATACAATCTGGATCTCAAAATGCTTAAATACAAAACCAGACATTGCTCCACTTTTCAAATTCTGACACAGTTCCAAATTTATCATATTCTTGCAAATCAGTCTTAGGCTAGATCTTGCTACTTAATATACTGAATGTCTATAAATGGGTTCACAGTAACTTTGAATTATGGCTGGCGTGTTTAAAAACAGAGAAACAAAATCGTTTCTTAAAATATATTTTATCTCCAAATAATAAAAGATTGAAACATTCAGGATATTCTCAAATAATTCAGAACTCTGCATCTCATTGATATCTCACTGGGTTAGGAAGACCAAGGAGCACTGAAGCTCCCATGTGAGTTGTTTTGGACCATAGCGGAATCCCCCTAGGTTGGGTGAAGGCCAAATTGGATGAACACCTTTTCTTTTCTTTGCCTGACTTCTTTATCTATTAACATTCATCACCAAAATGTAACATTGCAGACTTCTTGGAGGTGAATAAATAAATATATACCTAATTTGTCACTGAATGAGCAAAAAAAAAAAAATGTACACAAATTAAGAGACCTAACAATTAAATATCACAAAATTTCAGGACTAGCAATTGGCATAATGGCTATGTCACTGGACTCCCATGGAGTTGACCACGGTTTTGAGTCCTGGACCTGACTTAAACTCATGCCAGGCACATGTGCATGCATGCCCAAGATCCCGAGAGGAGAATGGAGAAGAAGGGATTGTGGCATGGCCATCCCCCTGTGGGGTGATTTCTCACTCTCTATCTCTCTTTCTGGCAAGCACACGCACAAAACAAAACAAAACAAAAATAAATATCACAAAGTTTCATTTTTGACTTGTGTTCTGCTCCAAAGTGGATGCTGATTACAATTTTCCATATAATTTGTACCAAAGAAATGATTCATCTGGGCAATCTACAACCTCCCAATAAATGTAAGTTCCCAAAATGATTACTCTTTTTTGACTTCATGTCATCTCCATTTGGCCTAGAGTAGCTTGCTTTTTTTTTTTTTTTTTTTTTTAA